TATTTAATTGTTTAGCAATAACCTGATTTTAGTTCTCTAAAGATGTAAGCCTAGTTATTATCTTTAGAACAAAGATGTGGTTAGTGCTATTATAGTAATTAAGAGTCAAGTAACACTAGGTAAAAATCCTGTTTCCATTTCTAAATGGGATACGTTGTATAATGAATATACCTACTCACTAGATTCAATAAGTAAAATGTTATAAAGCACAAAGGCTCAGATAAATTTTATCTGAGAAATAACTTTGAATATTTGACCATTCCTCCACACAAAAAACTGTCAACTATCATTTCATTCTACAATTAAGAATTAACTGATGATTGAAAAATCGGCCCTTAGCCAATTAGTTTTATTAGCTACTTTTTCACGCCAAGGCTATTGGCGATATACATATTGGACATAATTGTGGACTTCGATATATCTGGTTGTGACATCACGGAGAATTTGAAATCTGTCGAAAACAGACAAATAAACTGTATAATGGTGGCTCCTACCAGCGCACGTACGCACCATAAGGAACCAGAAATTGATTTCAGTACAGGTATCGCTTACAGATATTTAAAGTCAGTATGAACTGTTCAACAGTTAAGTCAAGGCCTCTTCTCAAAAGAAGCCTTTGATAACGATAACTGAATGGAACTATTGAGAAATACGACCAATAATTATTACTTTTTTATGGGTCATTCATTGTAATTTTTATCACTATTTATGATTTTATCAATTAGAAGAGATGTTTATAAGTCATTGCAGAAAATAGCCTTTATTTTTTTTCAAGACGTACACTTTAAAACGACGGGCGCTGTAGTTACTCATAAGTATTTGCAGAAATACCACACCATAGATTAAGACTATGTACTATATACGTAGTAAGATAACATAAATTCATAAAGAATACAGGAGTAGTCTAAATATTTGAAACAGTTGTGCTCCAAATAACCAGAGTAGCGGGTGCAGGTAATGCATTTGGGGACATATCTGATATACAGCACTCTGTGAAACCTTGACAGAATTTTGTTGTGTATTTCTCATACCTACATATAGAGGTATGATGTTACAAACATTATTATATTTATCATGTCTCTAAGACTTTCTTACAATATGTTATGCAAATAAGGTAAACATAGTATATTACTGACTGCAATTTGTGTTTGACGTTTAATAAAGTCTTGTAGGTAGGTAGGTAGGTAGGCATAATATCGGAGCAAGTGAGGAAAAGCTCTCTGATTCAATATGATTTATGATAGTTACGTGGAAGATTATTAAGATCACACTATAAAACATAAAGAGTCTAGCAACAATTAAGTAAGAATTTCTAAAAGATTTGTGCAGACGAAATAAAACATAAGAAATATTCATACTTAATTATGTGTACATACCTTTCAGTAGCGCCAGGAGTGAAGAATCTGACGACTGCGTAAACCAGCACGATTGCCAGCGAGCCACCCCATCCGAGGATGACGAACCATCGCATCGCAACTTCATCTTTCACGAACACCTGCACCTCACTTCCATTAGCATCACATATTCATAACAACAGGTAAATCATGGTAAACAAACACACAAAATACTTGTGTACATATATGTTTTTCTTTCGTGTTTCAAGTTTAACGTTAAATTATAATATTAGCTTTTTGTTTATTTATTAAAGTTATTGTTCGTTTATGGGCTTTTAACAGATTTTAACAGTAAGATCTGTGTCGAGGCAGACACAAAATGACATTTAACTCAGTACCTATATAGAGGTAAATAACAATGAATTTCCGTTCGTTGGTCTCGCTGAAACTCGAGAACGGCTGAACCGATTTGGCTAATTTTGTTCGTGGAAATCCAGGGAACGTTTAAAAGATGAAAAAGAACTGTTGTACTGTACGAAGTTTGCTGGACCAGCTAGTAATTAAACAGAAACACAAAGGATATTATTACAATGTTTAACCTTGTGATATTGTGAAATAGGTTAGGCAAATTAGTACTGGTAGTCACCATAAACATACTATGATTTATAATTTCCTGAATATAGTTTTATACTTAATAAATCAGCTCCTCTCTTAATATAATCTATTGTTTGGTCTATACGAAAATATGCTAGACTGAGAAATATAACATCGGGCTTTATCGGTTGTATTCGTTATCATAAAAAAATATACACATTTGTATACAATTTGGGAAAGGTATGTTGATGACACTAGTCACCATACTGATACTGATATTGCTAAAATCATTGTTTTTGCTACAATGAAAGTTCAATCTTGCCAATAAAAGATAAAGTTTAGTATTTAATGAAAACTTCACTAGTATTCTATCTAAATATAAACTTCATTCGTGCTCAATCTCACTCTTCCACGTGGGTAATCCTTTAAAGGGAAACAAAGTTTTCTCTTCACCTTTGGACCGTGAGTAGTGAGTTTATATTTTAGTTAAGTTCTTGTTAGAGTGAAGTTCCACTACTTAGTATTCTTTCACGTTTTGATACCTTATACCTAAATGGAATTTGTACCCAGTGTCTTAATACTGAAAGACGGGACTAGGAATGGGGTAGTTTTTAGTCACTAAGAGTTTAACACCTCGTCTGTCTAGGGTAGTCTCGGCTCACCCAAGGCAAAGAAGTCATAGGATTATTTTCCCTCCTTAAAAATGTCTTAATATTTTAGAACCTATGGTTACTCCTATGACTTACGTTCTTTTAAGCAACCAAATGCCTTAGATATTCATAACGCCCATGTAAAAATAATGTATGTATATAACGACTATGTTAATGCTTTCCGAAAAGGCTTTCATAACACAACCTTTTGGTCACAAACAATCTGCTACACAACGTATTCATATATCGTATATATATATATATATATATTATGTATATATACGCCCGCAATATCTGTAAGCTTCGCGTAAACAGGAAATATTAAAATAAGAGTAAAACGGTGGGGTAATATTTTTCTCGAACTTTCGAACTATCGTCAGCGACTATCGGGTCGTCGAACAAAGTTTGTGGCGTGAAGTATTTCGAAAATAACCCTACACGCGTTACGTTAGGTGTCATAACATTCACGCTTTCTATTCAGAAAAGGTGCACATTTAACGTGACAACCACTTAGCGCCTGTTATGTTATGGGATCCATATAAATCATATAATAGAGGATGAGTAGCCGTTGTGTGAGCATAACACCAAGCACTGGCCTTTTACTGAGCAATTTGAAGATTAAAAATCTTTATTAAACCGTTATTAATTTAGTAGTGCACCCATTTTTTTGCAAGTTGAATCCTATAATGGGATTGTTATATTAACTAGAAAATCAAACATTCTACATAGTCACATTTATAATTTTTCAACCAACAAGGAAACCAACATTTATGATTTGAGTACGCACAACGAATTGTTCTTTCACCATAACTTATAACGGTCTTGGCCAGCCTCCAGTATTAGGAAGGGTGGCATTATAAGGTCCCATATTCATAGCAACGAACTCATCATAATATGGTACAGTATTATAGTATGTTTCAGTTCCTTATGTAAGTCAAGGTCTTACGTGATGAGTAGGCCAAAGAATTATGTAAACAAGCTCCATAAAGCCGCGCTCTTTTACGATAGTGAAGCATGAACTAAAGACTTTTCTTATCTTAGAATGTAATTCAAGACTAGGGACAAAATGTGCTTTTAACATTTTCAAAGAGAACAATTCAAGTCTATGTAAATAATGTCGTAAAATGGATATGGATTTTGTGTTTCAAGCACTAATTCTTCATCATCAACAGTCTGTGATATTAATAATTATGTTTTCAGCTTACTAACGTAACTGTTTGACGAGGAACTTGACTAGTTTCACGCTTCGTTGCTGTTTAAAAGTTTAGATTTATCAGAGAGCAGTGCTCGGTCTTTGTCTAATGTCTAATCGACAATTACTATACCCGTGGTAAGAGCAGGAGTGATAACCTAATGGATAGGTAATAGGTACTCGACTAACAGGGAAGAAATGATACCTATACAAGTGTACATTGGAAGCTTACAGCTTAAAATATAAAATCTTAGCTTACTAGTGATGAGTAACTGTAAGTAGTGTATTGAATAGAGTATCTTGTTAGGCCCAATATCAACAAGGAACAAGCAGGGCTAAAAGCCCAAAAGAAATAACGTCTCCAACTTCAATATACACATACGTATATACATGTACAAAGATACTGATGTGTCCTTTCTAAATACAAACCGGATTTATATTGTCCGTATTTGCAGATCCTCTCGAGAATTCTCACACTACGTGACATTTTCATAGACCAACTTTGAAATTTTGTTTGCAGCAGTCATAGTGTTTACTGAACAGGATATTAAACGCCCTTCCGAACGAAGTTATCACTGAAACATTTCAGTTAAGCCTACGAGGAGACCGATGTATAATTAAGCTGCGTTTAATTACAAGAATTCAATGCTGCCATCGTTAATTGTTGTACAAAGATATTGTCTCTAACTGTGTTTTGACAAATTCTGTTTAATTACAGTGTCTATTTTATAGAACTTAAAAATTAGTGCTGGTATAGAATCTCACGTTGGTTTTTTACAATTAATAACTTTATGCTAAATATTTTTGATCAATATTTTATTGGCTATGCCATAATAAATTGTTCTTTTTACTCTTTTCTCTGTTCTTACACTAACTTACTAGGACTTAAGTTCAAAAGTGCGTTTTTGGTCTAATTGAAATAAACGATTTTGATGTTGACTTTGACTTTATACTAAGCTGTATTTGTACTCACCACAACAAGAGCAATATGCAGATGAAGCCCCTCGCAAAACATCCAGAGATAGCTGGTCACCATAAAGTAGTTCGTGATGACGTGAAGGACTTGACACCACTCCTGCAATACAATATTAATGATAATCGACCCTAATACAATGGAGTTAAGTTTAGTTTTTGGACTTTGAGATTGATTGAAAGTTTGGTCAGGTCGGTTTTGTAAAGGCTTTTCGTGTTTCGTAACTTTGTTGTTTAGGAAATATATTGTATTATAGGTATATAATATACTTATTAGGAAATAATGTTATAGAAATAAAAGGGAATGAGTGATTAATTTCTATCAGAAGCCTGAGAAACCACGACATTAAAAACAATAGGTTATGGATCGGACCATTCACCTAAGTTTGACAATTTTTTTTACATAGCAGTATTGTTAAATACAGATATTTTGATTAGCATGGGACGTCGTGGCTATGGTTTCCATAAATCCAATTAGAATTTTGTCGTTCGTTAAAACAACTGTGAAATTGTTTAGCCAATGTTTATGAAAACGGGCAAAGAACGAAATATAAATTGGAATTCTGTTTGGATAGGTAATTCGTTTGAATTTTTATGCGAATTTTCCTAAAGACGGAAATCCAATGCAAAGAGAAGGGTGATTTTTAACCAAAGTGCTTATACTTCCTCAATTTTTTCAAATATTTTCAACAAAAATTGGACACTGTCTGACTGTCCGTAACATTGATAAAAATATAAAAGTGCTATTGTTATGGTACACTAGAACAAATATTGTGTATTGATAAGTCATCAAAATTTGTGGCATGCGTGACGTCATTTTGTACCTTCCATTTAAGCTATAAAATGAATATTGTTCCAAATTACTTTAAAACCCTTCGAAATATTTGCGTTGTTGTATTTCATGTTAGGCTGGGTGCACCTGACTGTTCTAATTGTCAAATACTGAATTTACGACCAATAAAATTGTTTTGAAATGGAATGTTTTCACTATTTATTCATCAATTTTAGAATCCATTTTTCGAAGATCCATTTGTTTCATTTTTATCGAGCTTGTTTTATGAGAGAACTTGATTTTCGCAAACCCATCCAAACATACGACACTGGCAACCAGTAGTTGTGACGTCACTGTACTTCACGATTCAAAAACACTCAATGACTATTTAATCTAAAATAAAAATTATAACTAGGTACACGAAGGACATACTTACTGTATTTTCCTGTACCACGCTGACCCTGTTCACCACGGCCCGATACCAGATGATCCAGAGAATGTTGTTCAGAGCGAATGAGATAAAGAGATGCACGTGGATACGAATTCGTGTGCATTGTAGTACCCTGTGTTAAGGAAACATCTAATAAGTTTTTGAAGTTTACTCCTGTTCTTTGATATGATTGGAATATACATCTGATGTATGTTGTTGGTTGTTCAACCGGCTGCAGCGCAACATTCCATTGCTGTGATCCACAAATTATTGTTCCGGGTCTGGTGTCAAGTGTATGTGAACTTGTGTGATTATAAACGCACCTACGACACAGAAGTCCTAGTGTGGGGCAACCTTTCTATTAAAAAAGAACAAAAAAAAAACAATGTGAATGTTCAAGAATTGTTTTGTCCTTTTATTAACATATTTGTTTGCATAATTTTGTAATAGAATGAATGGATGATGGAACTTGGAACCGGTAAAACAATAGCCACTAAACCATTTGTGCATTTAGTTTCTACTAACACCTCGTGAGTGCCTTTAAATATTTGATTCCAACCAGTAACCAGGTTTTAAAGCGCTACGGTAGCAAATAAATTGGTTAACACAGAACTTTAAGCAAATAATGGTAGAGCACATTATCTGGTGCAATATGTCGTGCCATAATCTATTTGGTCAGAACCCATACAAGTGAATAATTAAATGATTTCAGAACGTCTCTCTTCCAAAGTAATTTCTTTTTTTGTGCAACAATAGTTTGCAGTGATAGGGAGAAAATGTTTAAATGCAAGCGTGCTATGTTCTTCGACAAAACAGAATAAGAAAATTCGATTCCATTTTAGACGTCATTCTAGTGTAGAAATGGCTACTTTGAGTGTACTGTTTAGACATTTTATTCTTTCACTTGCGTTTTACTGCATCGTGTTCATTGTTTTTCACGTAGTCTCTGTACGTCCAAGTAAGATCTCTGACGTCGTCGGTACAGTATAGTCGTCTGCTCAAATTGCATCGACAGATGTGACGCATATATTTTTCTTTGTTTTACGTAATACTTTGTGTTAAACTTACCAAATCAGTGTTTTAGAGGTATAGTTAAATTTTTAAAATGAGAATTTGAAAAACGAAAGAAATTGAGTATACTCAATGAATCCTTACACGTTATCCGTTATAACTCAAAATATAATTAAATGCATCAATGAATAAGGCGAAATCAAAAGGAAATCCTTCAAAATTATTTGAAACAGTTTTAGAAAGCACTGGACGAGAATCTGGACAAGAAAAATCTTTTAAGTTAACACACTTTGAGAATATTATAGTATTCAGTGCTTTGAGCTAGCGCTAAGCGTGGCGAAGTGTTTAGAAAATAACATTTTCCTTTAGTATACGAGAAAAGATAATACTGACAGCATATTTAACATCCTCTATTCCATTTGATATGATTTAAATAATGTGAATGATCAATGAGTTCACACCCCATACATATAAATAATTCTATTCTGTAAAAATAAAGTTGTTAAAGTGGAACATTACTGAAGAATTGGAAGCGAAATGTGGCCTATGGGGCCCGCCTGCTGATAAGTAACCTATTCACTGGGGGTTTAAAGACACTCAGGTTATATACCCATCAGGAAACAGAATTCGGCAAAGAATTCCACTTTTTCGCTTCTGTATAGTATGTGGGGTTCGATTTCTGTTTTGAACAAGAGGTTTGAAGTTGTGTTGCAAAATTTAACAATACAGGAGATAGCAGCTTATTCATTCAGTTTATCTGTTCTACAGTGTGTTATAAAAATGTCCAAGCTGTCTAAAAATTTATGTTGCAATATCTCTTCAGGAGATAAGTAATTTATGACTACAAAATTACATTCAGTTTTATGGTCCCCACGTTTGAAATTATCGTGCAATGCATGCATTAGTGGTCACCCTATACGTATGTACATATTATTAGTAAACGATTTAACATTACATTGATTATTTTCATTGCTGTCTCAGCCAAGAACCGGCAACATATCCCGACTTTTCTTACGAATTTTCTTTTATAAGAACTTTCTGACTATGACAAACACAACAAAAAAGAATTAGCGAAATTGGTCTAACCATTGAAGCGTGATGCGATGATCAAGGGAAATTGGCATTCAGTTTTATATAGCATAGAACAAAGAAGGTTAAAATACAAGACATCGAGTTAGCAGCCGTGTTTGTAACCGCTAGATTTTGAAGTTATGTGTACAGAATAAGTAAGTCAACTCAAACAATGTTCGAACACTAGATTTGACTTGGTTCAAGTCATTTTGGCAAGAACAGTAAACACGATTGTGTGATACGACTACCACAGTAGGTAAAGTTTTATAGGAAAATGTTTAAGTAATGACTTTTCAAGCTCGAACAGTTGTTTACACTTTTGGTAAATGAAAATGAAACAGTAAGTACTTTTCACATCACTTTCCAAGTTACTGTGTATGTTTGCATGGAAGATTATTCTTTAGGGTGGCGGTGTGAGGTACTCTCAAGCTTTATGTACTCTTTATTGATAAAATATATATGCATTCAGCACAACATAGGTTTATGCCGTGCTCACCCCGTTTATTGCTTAGCTTAGATAAGCGTCGCGTTCGTTCTTATTTCTCAGTCTTTCTCTAAAGATAGGTCATTTTGCAAAATTGAATAGGAATCTCCTATAATACGGATATGGAAAAGTGTCATTTTATTTCTTACATCTTTTGTACTTGAGTAAATCTCTCGTGTTGAGACGTTTTTATTATCCTGGCTTCTTCCCAAGATGTTTGAAGGTCGTTGCTAACTCTCTATTATACCTACAAGAGAACACTTCTTGTATGCTCCTACAATAATTGTAGGCTGTTGCATGTTGTACAACAACCATTCGACCCATTATAGTGGAACAAGGTGCATGTTCTTGTTCTCTGACGAACAGTTTCATTGATTAAGGGGTCGTCAACAAGCTCGTCGTTCGCATGGATGATGGATGCAAGGCTTTTGTGTACTTCTGTATACCCCGTGGCTTGAAAGTTTTCTCTATATTAATCTTACGTCATATGAAATCAACTTGAAAATGCTGTTACGACGTACAAGTGATTACATTACTCGGTAGAAAACAAAATTTTATGTAATCTGATGATCGCGATGATTGATGGTGACGGATGGATGGTCAAAGTCGTAAATACAATATTGCATTGAAACCAGTAGACACTGCTTTACCATTTTTTGTTCCGCGGTTAAGCTTTAGTTAGGTAAACTCACATTAACATAAAATATTCAGTTCATAGTCGTAGTTAAAAATTAAACCTCATTATGTGGCTTTATGACGTTGTTGCTGTCACTTATTTTAATGTTTATTAGCGGTTTATTTTTTTTGTGGGCGCAGATATAGGATAATCTGAGTTATTTATTTATTTAAAATCATAAACGGATGATAATCTAAAAGCTCTAGCATCTAAGAAAAATTGCATGCAATATCCGTTGCATAAAATCAAATTACTGCCAAATATTTCTGACTATCTCTGAATGTAAAGTTTCTAACTGATCTCAATCTAAAGTTTTTAGCTATTACTTTTTGGAGCCGCGGTGGACTTACCGGGTTGCCGGGGCTCCGGGTTGGTATTTAGTCAATAAGAGTCTGATACTTCGTCTTGCCTCACCCGAGGCTGGAGAAGTCATTGGATGATTTTCTCCCTCATAAAAGAGCTATCAATTTTTGCTTAACGTGAATGGTGGTGGAGAAAAAGATGATAGTCATCATACCTATCAATTACCATAGATAGAACAAAGAGTTACGAAAGCTCCACCAAGACATCAGTACTTAAATGTATACAAGCTAAAAATAAATGGGTAATGTTCGATTGGAAATATTTCGGTTAAACATCTTGTTATAATCAAAACAAAATAATGTTTATTTAATAATAGATTCAAGCACTCATCTACTTCGGGAGTTTGTTTTTAAATCATATTATAATATCAATGTACTGTGATGATTGGTAGATCTAGTAAAAAATATCTGATGTGAATGTTGAAGCTTTTTGAAAATTCCTTATTTTTTTAAATATCTGATTTCTTTCTAAGCTCTTTAGTTTATTTATTTATGTTATTCGCGGATTTTGATGCAATTTGCAACTCTTTATTTTCGTGAAATGAGTTACAGTATGAAAACAAATAGCGGTTGAATTTATTTATTAGTTCAGATAACCTGTCGATATTCATAAATAAAAATCAAAAAGTAAAAACTCGTTGATAAGTGATACAAGAATAGAAAAAGTACAAGTTTAAATTAATTAATAAACTTTAGTTCAGTTTTTCGCAGAATAGAGATGAAAATAACCATGTACCATAACTATCCTCTTTTCCAAGGTAGGCTAGGTACCTAAACGTGAAAAAGTACCTACTCACCGAAAATATAGGAAAATGAAGACTGAGATCAGCAGAGCAACCACTGACAGCGAGTACCCAATCACGTAGATGTTGTTCACGATGTTCCGGAACTGAAACAAAAAGGATTATAAGTACATTTAAACGACAAGTATAGTAATTTAAAAAAAATAGCTCTACTCGTTTCGAATCACAGAGGGGTTCTTCCTCATGAGCAGCGTGCGCGGTGGCGGCGTTGTCGCGCAGCCTACCTACAGCATGTGAGTAACCCGCGATTTTTAGTTAATTTAATATGACTCACTATAGTTATTATAAAAACAAAGTATAGTAATTGCATTGGATGTAGTAAATTTCAGATATTGTTTGATTTTCTTCTCTCCACCTGCCCTCCTTCTTGTCCTCTCTGTCGCATTAAATACCTAATCTCCATGTCAAAAATGGTCTACGCTTTTGAAAAAGTAATGGAATAATGTATATAACGTAACATTTAATAAAGTACAAACAAGTCTAGTGTATAATATCATCTCAACCATTAACGTCTCAAAGGCGTACATTATATAAAAATAACTGAAGAAACTGAGACATTGCACGCATGAATCATAGTCGCGTGTATACAGGGTGTCGGCAAGTCCGCAGCAGTAAACAATGCGCCTCGTGATAGATGGCGCACCGCTCCCTGCTAGGCGACGAGTCTCGTCACTCGTCATACGCTACCGATACGCCAAAACGTCAGATTGTGTACACATAATGCTTTTAAACAAACATAAAAACTATATTATCTTGTACACGCAGTCTTGCCCAAGTGTATTTAATCTGTGCTGTGGGTTTCTGCTGTCGGCTTGTTTTGTTCATCAGTAACGCACACGTGTGTATCTGAAAATTTCGACGAGTGAGACTAATAACATTGTAGACCACAGGGTTCCGGGTCCCATAGTAAGATATACATGGAAGTGAGTTAGTTTAGGAATTCACGTAACACCTAATTTGAATATAGCAATTCCGTTCGATGTTTTCGATTTATTGTGATGCTAATGCTGCATGTTAACAATATCAAGCTTGACGTTATCCTGGGTGGTTATTTCATTAACCACGACAATACACACTGCGTTACAGGTAACTGGCGTAAACTGAACCTGTTGTGAATAAACCTCTATGTTCCATTTGTAATAATACTTTTACTAGCTATAGACTTTTACAGTGAAATAGCTATAACTCCTTAGAAAAATGATAAAACGCTGCTTTCTAAAAAACGTTTCAACATCCAAATAAAATATTCTGCCGAATTAAATAAGGCGTTTTATGGTTTTCGTTGAATAGCTGAACATGATCTATAAAATCGTTGAGTCAGCAGTCGGGTGTCGTTCGAGTGGACTTCAATAGTAAGGGGCCGGTTTTGAAATGACACAGTTATCCGCACACGCATTACTATATTACCCTTTCAAGTCGCCATTTTTATCACATTTTTTTATGTATATTAGAGCAGAAAATCTTTAGAATCCTAAACATAAAAGGAGAAAATCTGTCAATCGTATTTCCATTTGCATTTTATGCTTCCATTTACCTAAACAAAAGGAAGATTTCGTTCAAGCGTTCCATTCCGTCAAAATATTATTACAAGTAAATGTAAATTACGTAAATAAATATACACAAATTGGTTAGACCAGGAAGCATTGGAGGAAAAACGTTAAAATACTCGCACATTACAGGCTTTCTTGATTATTAAACGTGCTTTAATAATAAGTGAACCATGGCTGTGTAAGTTTGAGTTTTTTCTTTTGGAATTGAAACGGTATATTTTAATAATTCAAGTGTACTTTTTATAGCATTCTCAGAAACGATTGTTGAGGGTATTTTTTAAGGGGGAAAATCATCGAATGACTGCTCCCGCCTGGATGAGGCGGTAGGGTGTCAGACTCTTACTGACTAAAAACCATCCCGTTCCTTTTCCTGTGCTTCGAGCCGGAGTCCCGGTAACCCGTTAGGTTCTCCGCGACTCCGACTCGGCATCAGCCTTGTTGGGCCCCATCCGTGGTGGTCTGATGGCTCTTTGAGGCGCGCGCGGAACGCGACGCGCCGTACGCTCGGGTCTGGTTCTGGTCAGACGGTGAGCCACCCGTTGTTGAGGGTATAGGATCTCAGTATTCAGAGTAACACTCCTTTCGCCTCTGACTAGAATGCTACTATACAATCACGAGTTTTAAAGATTACATTGAACTGACTAGGACTAGACAACGCACGCATATTTAAATGACGGTACTAGAACTTTACCCATAGGTATTATACTACTGCCACGATTGAAATATAAAATAAAAAACTAACGGTTTTATTTCGCCATGTAAGGAACAAGCAGAAGGCCTAGTATGAGTTTTTTCTAGATTAACGTCATCGAAATATTACCGTGTTTACCTCTGATTGGTTGGTTCATTGACGCAGGCCAATCAGAGTTCCGAACGCAGTAACGTTTTTTTAAATCTCGTTACCTTTAGAAAGTTCTTCACGATAACTAAAGGAGAAGTCCAGAGGAGTCTTGTCCAGCAGTACAATTTAGTTTGTCATTCATGTCAATCAAAAAATGTCTTATTTTTTGAAGGATTTTGCAAGTGTAATCTAATTTAAATAAGTAGAAGAATACTACGCGTGCTATAGGCTAAAAATATAATAGAAGTATTTAATGAATTATCAATTATTAGAGGTAGGCATTATATTTATGAGAATTTGAGTAATAGGGAAGTAGTCTTGCTAATCCAGTTTACATAGTTTTACTTTTTTCAAAATATTTCTGTTGACTTTTTGTAATTCACCAATTTAGAAAAATTACTATTTTTACGTCTGTGACCATACATGAGTGTACAATATACAAGGGTGTTATAAATAATCGACAAATCAATAATACAGTTTATTTTGGACTGCGAAAACAAACTTTCCGATTACCGTAGATACTTGATAATTGTACTTGTTGTTTTTGGTGAAGGTACATTTTCTGACCGAAATTGTGAGTCTAGGGGAAGGAAAATTCCCTTTTCTTATAGATACTGTCAGATGTTGTGAGTACTTCCTGCTTATTTTCCTTCGGTTCAAGTGATTGATGAGTATTAGGTGGAAGAAGAAATGAAATTGGCTGCAGAATACGGCAAGGATAACGATGGTGTCATTAATTCGCAGACAACGAATTTTATTAAAACTTTATCGTGCGTTTTATAACGAGTTTATTAAAAATCAATAACATATAATGTTAGGGGAGGATCTTTTTATACGTGTGACTTAAGTACGATACGAGTCACGTGGTTTGAAATTACTTTGCAGTATTTTTTGAAGAAGCCAAGCCACTTAACATGATTTTAATTTACTGAACGAATGGATTAATTTAAAACGTCCACATTTTGAGTAAGAACCATGGTAAGATGCCATATGTCCGAAAACAATGCGTTCTATGATACCTATAATGAGACGAGCTTACTGACTTAAACTGAACAAACATAACAGAATCCAATACTGATTTACAAATACACACTGAATTTGAAAGTGTGGGAGAGCCATGCTTTGCACGAAAGCGTCGACTCGATCTGAGGTATACCACGGCCTCACACAAAACCGACGTGAAACAACGTTGCGTTGTGTTTCGTCGTGTGAGTGGAGTGAGGTTACCAGAGGCCCAAGTGGGATGATAAAAGGGTATTAAAATTAAAAATCTAATTAGTTCGTAAGTTAGATAATGAAAAAACATTAGACACATTTTTTATTTTGTCGTATAATAAAAGGAGTGGGGGCTAAATCGTCATTTCTACGTATAAAATGTAAATAGAAGTGGCGTCACGCGACATTTCAAAATCATCCAAAGTATACAATCGTATACTTTGGACGATACAGAATCCTGTAAGAAAATAAAAAATACGTATCTAATGATTTCTTCTTCTTTCTTTCTTTCCTATTACCCTCCTCCCCAATTTCCCCAATCCTCAAATTGCCAAAAGATCGGTAACGCACTTGTAATGCCTTTGTGTTTCAGGTGTCCATGGGCGGCGCCGATTGCTTACCGTACCGTACCGTACTCGTTTAAAGGGTTATGCCATAAAAAAAAAACTTGGAACATCTAATTCAGTTGAAAGATACTCACGTCAAGGTCGTCAACATCAACACAGGTGGTGTAGTTGGTCCATGGTTTGTTCGCGTGCGGGTGCAAGAACCATGTTCCATTTTCCGTGCATCTAAAACAAAGAATATTGTTTTGAGAATTTGAGTAGATCGTTACAAGTCTTGATTATTCTCTTATTAATGATTAATTTTGACCCAAGAGACCCAAGGTCATTGCATGACTTCCCCTCTTGATTATCAAGAGGGGAAGTCATGCAATGACCTTGGGTGAGACAAGAGGGAGTGTCAGACTCTTTACTGACTAAAAAGCATCCCATTACTAGTCGGAGCCCTGGTAAACCTGGATTTATAATTAGGTCTAAAGTCAATAGTTTGATCTCAGGAATACAAACAAGCTATTGTTTGTATACTAGCAGTACATAAATAAGACACGTGTCTACCAATTCTAATGAAACTATTCGTTAGTTTTACGAAATCCGAAAGAAGAATGGTTATTATAATTTGATTTTTAACCTGAATAGTACTTATGTTTGTAACTAAACCGGATCCAAAAACTAACCGAGGCTACTGCAACGTACCCAATTCGTCGGTCATCGTGATTATTTCTAAATACGTTATTATTATGTGCGTGACAAGTTGATACTCCATCATCCTGATACTAATTTATTTACAAGTATGTATCCTAATAAAAAGAAATGAAGCGTTTCTTGTAGGAAATATTACTATACGTAGACACAGAAAACTTTCTAGTAACAACAAAATGATTGATGAATGGTCCATGTGTAACAACTTATAAATACAAGGACTGCCTCGTTGGTCGAGTGGTCGCAAGTGCGACTGCCGGGCAAGGGGTTTCGGGTTCGATTCCTGGGTCGGGCAAAGTGCTACTGGGGTTTTCTAAAAAATCTCAGTAGTAGCACGGTGTCTGGAATTGTGCCCGGTATACGGTAATAGGCTCACCTCCTATTACATGGGACTCATAACATAAATAGTGAAAAGCGGGTGTTACATAGTACAGTGGCACTAAATGCCGTAATGTGCACCTCCGCCTACCTCTGCGGGGATAAATGGCGTGATTTTATGATATAAATACAAGTAGTTTGTGATCATTCAGTATGGTTGCACACTAGCCTTCTTTTTAGGAAACAGATGCCTTTTACTATTTTGCTTTTAAGTTACTTTACGGAGATTCCCAGTTGAAACTATCCGAACAAATTTCTTTTAACAATACATGTACGATGATCATGATGAAATTAAGGATAAAAAGACATTTGAACCTTAATTTTCTATTATTATAACAGCTTCTTTACAGTGAATATGAGACCAATGTCAAACAATTTTAGTATTCTTCAAACAATGCCTATTTAGTACTACAATCCGCTAAACTCAATGTAAAGTGTTGTTTATACATTTTTCTACATTTTTTCGTATATTTTGAACACACCACATTTTAGATTCATATCACGCTATGTCATATCAAAATCAGTATTAATGTTTGTCCTTTGCTTTTTAATGGTAAAACGAGTCTGGCTTTAGTTTATGAGACTTCTTAGAGCTAGTATGGAATTTATTAGTGACATGGTACATCACATGGAGTATATGAATTATATCTACTGATTACTTCTTTGACGACTGTTTGCGAATGTAATAATCATAGGAATTTTGTATGAAGAAATGGATTAGTGTAAGGAACTAGTTCACGAGTGTAATAAAGGGGAACTTATGTGAATTCTTGATAAGGAATTCTTGAGCCGTACGATTGTAAAAGAAAATATCAAGGTATCGATTAAATTGGTTCATATAACACGATATAATATGGTATGATGGCATAGCATACTTGATACTTTACTACTTCTCTCACGAAATAGCTTTTTTACAAAAGGGTGGTATTTAATACTTTAACTGTAAATTCCCTTTTTTCAATCAAAATATTTGAAATTACTAAATAGAGGTATTTCTAAATAGAGGTGCCCTTTAACAATATGATTGTTTCTAGTACAAATGGGGATGATGACAGGGTATGAAAATTAAAAATATAATTAGTCCGTAACTTAGGTAATAAAAAAATATTAGACACGTATTTTTTTATTTTGTTGTATACTAAAACAATACTTAGATAAAACGAATCAAAGTTTAGGAGTGGGGGCTAAAACGTCATTTCTTAGTATAAAATGTACTGAGAAGTGACGTCACGCGACATTTCAAATCAATATATCTTCGAAACTATTCGTTTCCGTAAGAAAATAAAAAATACGTGTCTAATGTTTTTAAATAATCTACCAGACGGACATTAAAATAAAAATTAGTCGTCTACCCTATTGTATAGTATTACATACACGATTTGATTGTACGTATAGTTTGTTTATACAGTAATTTAAGCATCGCTGCAAGTGTAGTATTCCGTGCAACATTTTTATTTTGCTAACAAGACTTTTTACCATTATTGGAATACATCGAAGCGACGCAATGCTCAAGCACCGAAGAAGCAGATTATCTGGCTGTTATGAAGTAATTGAACTCAATAGGACACAAAGAGTAAGTTATTCTTAAAAAATATAAAAACTGTAGTTGGCGTAGTGGGTGGTTGGTGGAGTGCCTAAGTTTTCCAGTAAAAAAATATTGCAGAATTTGTTGTACATACATACTATTTTTAGTAATCGCCTCTACGATACCCGTAAGGAAGGCTTATGATCAGCAGTGGACGAATGTCTTTATATTAATATGACGTTGATGTTGAAGTACGAACATTTTAGTCACAAGAATTTACTAATCGCCATGTCTGTTCTAATGAGAGTAGGTAGATAGGTCTTAAAAATGCCTTGAAACATTCGTTTCAACGTTTCAACCCTAGCTTAGTATCTAAGGGCAAGGAAAAAAGGTACTATAACTAAATCTCGTGTTTCTGCGACCTTAGAGAAGGTTAAGGAATATTAGTGTTGCGGTAACCCCACTTTACCTCTATATGATCTCTCTATGAGCACTGTCCTTTATTAGCACCACCAAGGTTTTTACTCTCAATTCCTACCTTCTGATGAGCGTAACTACATTACAGCTTGCTCTCATTTACAATTTTATTTCAATATTATTTAAATTCATTTTTGTTTACAGCATTTACATGTAGCGGAAGATTGATCTCATAAAGTCTCTCGTTACATTATGTTTTATTTATGACCTTTATGAAATTGAGCTTTATGTAATAAATATTAAGCTGTAATGTCATTTGATTTATTTTATGCCTTCAAAGACATGTCTGTAGGTGGTTTCCAGGAAAATACGCATAGGTATTAGAGGGTTTGCGTGACAAACGTTATTATCGGTACTATTCCGTTCGATGAAATGCAGTCCTGCACAATTAAGCTTTGAATAATAAATTAGGGGTCAGCGGTAGACAAGTTCTTCAATTTTGTATTGATTGACCGGTTCCAGTAATGTAACACGTTGACGCGATAGTGTATTTTCAAGCTTTTTGTATGTTCCGTGAATAAAGTTGACACAAACATGTTGAAGTTGAATATTGCTTACGATGACTTGTTACGCAGAATCACCGTCATTTATCCTCTACAACACACTAGGGATGACGAAACATTGTTGGAAACACCCAAAAGGTTTGTATATGGAGACAGTTTTAGCGGTTCTAGCCATCGGGTCATCGTACATGTGAATAGTTCATGACACAGATACATTTATTACCCTCATAATAACTGAGTATTATGTCAAATCAGTGGACATACAGATAACCGAGTTCTTGTTTGATTTGTGAAAATTGCAATGTGTTATCAACACCAAAACCAAACCTGATCAGGTTTTGAAATCCGAAACGAATTTAGGCACGTTTTTGTTGACAACTGAATGACATGCTACTATTAAGCTGGTGGTTTGGTGTCCAGTGATTTTGATTTCCAATTTCCTTATCGTTACTGGAATTGGGGTTTAACCAAAAGAGGGTGGAAAAGGTCGGATGACTTGAAAGTATCTATTTATCTATAAACATATAATTTCATTAGCAGTTTAAGTAAATATTGGGATGGATCCAGAGGCCAAAATACAAAGATAAACAAATATGGGTTTGTTTGGTTTCATTTCTGACCTTGTAAATATAAATGCAAATATAAAGTTCCTTTGCCGTAAAGTGCACCTCTGCCTACCCCTTCGGGGATTAAAGGCGTGATGTTGTGTTAAAATTCTCCTTTTCGCACAGACACAAATCGCTAAATTTCAATCAACAGTCAATAGGAACTACCGAAATGACTGTCGGCTCCTATGTGGAACATACATTGAATCTATTTATTCTGATGTAATATAGAAAAAATCATTTGAAAAATCCGTTTCAAATATTTTCTACAGGTGGAATTCACAGGGAAAAGTATAGTTAGTATTTGTATGTGTGGATATACGATTCCTTTTGTCGTTGGTGTCATTAATATTTAAAGCGTTTTGTTCAAACTTTTTTGACTTTGGTGTTTCGAAATGTTTTAGGATAAAGTGCTTTTGTGTGACTTTTCTGTTGATAGCGTTAATTAGGTAATGTGATTGTTGATTTTACAATGACTGATTCGTAATGTAATCTTATGTGAATTATTTAGTGCATAAAATTCGATACAAAATTAGAGTCTTCAATTGTCCATTGCCTTGTCAGTTGCGTTCCGAGTCAAAGTTTAACCAGAAATGCTAACCATGTCTCACATCCTTTTTGAGCAGTAGCAGTACTGCTCATCATTCAGTGCCAGTAGTATTAGCGACCAAAACGGTAATATTACGAAATTTAAAAACACATTAATACATTAATATAGGAAATCAAATGCATAACTCAAGCTTAGTGAATTTTATCTACTCGCAACCATTAGAAAAACACGGTCCGAGTGTAGTCTATCCAGTAATTTTAAACGAGGCATTGAGCAAACGATTACCAACTTCGTTTCGAATAAAATACAAGCTGTAATGTTTATTTTACTATGCACTATATTTTTGACTCTGTAAATAACCCTAGAGTTTCTATCAGGAATAATCATGATGCGAATTCTTGTGGAGAATTGACGATCCACTCATTCATGTGCACCAGTGGCGTGTGCAGACGTTTTACGGTGTACCTTTTCAACTGTTATTTAGTGTTACA